AATTTCATCGAAATCAATTTTGAAATTTTTTTATTGCACTATGCTAACTTCAATATATTTTTTACAACTTAATTATTTTAAAAAAATTGATTTATATTGCACGCTCTAACCCAATGAATACGATCATGATGTATGAAAAAAAATATGTATTAGAGTTATTGATTTTATTATAAATTAACTATGTATAGTGTATCCGCACTCATAATTCCAACCATTTGCTATTTTTTTATTTATTTAAATAAAATAATTGAAATAATGTTTTAGAAAAACAACCTAATAATTCAAATATATTATTTTATATTAAAATATTCATTTTTTTGTAAATAAATATACATATAAATCAAATTTATATATTCTCCAAAAAATATATTCTTCTTACCAATATCAAACTAGAATAAAAAAGATTTATTTGTTAATTTTTATGCAGGTTTTATATTAATTGTTGTTTTATTTATTCAATATAATGTTATAAAAAATATTGAAATGTTTTTTTAATTTTATATTTAGATTATTATGAGTTTTTATTTAAGAACAAATGGATAAAAAAAGAACAAATTGTGGTTTTGTTTACTACAAAATTTATTAGAAAATAAAAAAATAGATGCAAAATTTTGATAAAAAATTATAAAATTAGATGACATTTTATCTTTAATTTAATATATTTTTATTAACTGAGAGTATAATACATATTATTTAACTAAAATAAATATATTTAATTTAATATCCTACGCTAATTCTCTCTTAGCAAGAAACTAACAGTGGAGGTAATTACAACAGAAAATAAATGGATAATCATGCTCTAGGAAGGTTCGAAAATTGGATCGATAGAAGTTTATATTTAATTAATGGTCTGTGGAAATATGATTCTTACTAGATAAGACAGCGTGTATTTTGCACAGTACCGTTATGTTGAGTGCAATTGCATCCGACATATTGTGATGCTACAAAACTAATTGAATTAACTTAACAAATACAAAACTTAATTAACACCTATTTAAATAAAATAAACAAATAATTAATTTTTTAATAATTAAATAATTTAATTAACAACCATTTAACTTAATTTAATTAACAATTATATCACTTAATTAACACATAATTAATTAAAATAAACACATAATTAATTGTCTTAAATAATAATTAAATATTTTAATTAACAACTAATTGAATTAATTGAACAAATACAAAATTAACACCTACTTAAAAAAAATACTAAATAATTAATTTTTTAAAATAAGTAAATAATTTAATTAATAACAATTTAACTTAATTTAATTAACAAGTATATCGCTTAATTAACACATAAATAATTAAAATAACACCTAATTAATTTTTTAAATAATAATTAAATATTTTGGTTAACAACTAATTGAATTAATTTAACAAATATAAAAATTAATTAACACCTATTGAATTAAACTAACCATTAATTAACTTAATTTAAATATTAACAAGTTAATCAATTAATTAACACATAATTAATTAAACTAAACCAATTAAATTTATTAAAAAATTAAATTATTTAATTAGAAAAAAATAAACTTAATTTAGTTAACAACTAAATCAATTAGCACATAATTAAATAAACTAATACTTAATTAAATTTTTTAACAAATAATTAATTTAATTAATAAATAACAAATTAACTCTAACAAAAATAAATTAAACTATCTAACAATTAACAAATAAATAATTAAAAAATAATATAAAATTATTGAAGTAAATGAAAAATGTTATGAACTACAAAAATGGAGGAAGAGAGAAGGAGGAGCTGCTGCCAACTCACGATGATAAGAGGAGGAGTTGCTGCTATTGCTGTTGCTGTTGTACTATTCACGAATAAGAGGGAGGAGGAGAAGGAAAGAAGAGAATGGGAGTTTGGAGGAGCTGGTGGCATCAATGGAAGAAAAATGGGGGAGGTGGAGTTACTTGCGTGTAGCTATGGGCTTCATCTCATCCCCAACGTTCGTACCTTCCCCTATATTTATATATTGCCTAAAACGCTAAAAAAAATTAGGACAAATGAACAGTAATTCATTATTCATTTGCCTCACTTTATTATTCATTGGTGGCAATTTTATAATTCTATTTAATGGTATTTTCATAATCTTTATAGTTTTTTGGATATTTATTTTCAAATTTTACATTTCATTTCTTTTTGATCCCTTAAGTTTTCAAAATGTATTTTTAAATCCTCATATTTTTTAAAAATATTTTGACATCTCATATTTTTAACTTAGTCCATTTTTATCTCATATTTTTTTCAAAATATGTTTTTTGTTTCTCATATTTTAAAAAGATATTTTTGGCCTCTTATATTTTTAAATATTAGAACAAACATATATATATCGGATTATATTTTTTTTATTGGTTAAAATTAATCTCTTAAATTTGTTGTTTATTATAAAAATTCTCATCAAATTAAATTTGTTCCTTCTTTTGGTTTAAAAAATAAATTATTTAATTTTTTTAACTAGTGTTGACCATCGATAATTTATTTTTTTATTTTATAAAATATTTTTTTCATATTTTTTTATTCTTTATCTATTTCTTAAAATAAAAAGTAAAAACATTGAAATAGCAAAAATGCCAAAAAGATCTTTTAAAAATTAAATAATTTATTTTTTAAACCAAAAGAATTAATTCATTCTTTTTTCAAAATGAGAAGAACTAATTTATAATTTAATTTGCAATTCAAGAATCTCTTTCATCATAAATTAAGAAATAAAATTTATGAGAACCAATTTAAATTTATTGACTTTAACATATTCCATACAACTTATATAATTTTTTAAAAAAAATTATTTATATTATATACTCTGAATCTACTAAGTATGATCATAATATATATATATATATATATATATATAAGTTTTATTGAAAATTAATTATATATCTGCATGCATAACACTAATTATTTGTTATTAATTATTTTTTATGTTATAAAATCAATATTTTTTACATAAAATAATTAAAAGATATATCATTAGTTTTACTAGAAATTAATTATGTATCTTTACACATAACACCAATTATTTATTATTTATTCTTTTTTATATTCTAAAATCAATATTTTTTAAATAAAATAATTGAAATAATGTTTTGAACGAACCTTTTAATTATTCAAACACAATATTTTATGCTAATATTATTGATTATTTTGTTAATAAATATGTATAAATCAAGCGATTTTGCTCGGCAACTAAATTTGATTTATATTAATTATGAGAAATAAGATTTTTACCCTACTAGACCATACAAATCATTGACCTATTCATATAACGGTTGTCCGATCACAACATAGCATGGGTAATTTAATTAAAGTAATAATTAATTATATATTTTACACAATATTTATATAATATAATTGTAAACTAATTTTCTCAATTAACAACTTAATATATCATTTTTTAAAAAAAAATTAATTTTTTAATTAACTAATAATAAATTTACATAATTAAATTTGAATTAACACCTATATATATATATATATATAAAATTAAACTAACACTAATATAATTAAAAAATTTAATTTTCGTAAATTTTATTAAAAATCACTTAATAAATAATTAATAGTTCATGTAATTAAATTAACACCACCTATTAGATATTTTAAGAGCAAAAAATTATTTAAATACATAAAGTTACACTTAATTTAATAACCAACTAAATAAAAATTATTAAATACATAATTAATTAGACTAACTCTTACAAAATTATTTAAAGACAAACAATTACACTTAATTTAATAACCAACAAATAACAATTACTTATAATAAAAAATTAATTAAAACTAACTAAAAATGAATCAATAAATAGTAAAACAAAAAAAAACTTACAATTAAATTTTCTAAATACCAACAATTAAACTAATTAATAATTAAATAATAAATAATTAACAATAATAACACAATTAATAATTAACAACAACAATTACATTAATAATTAACTAATAAATAATAAAAAACAATAACAATTAACAAAAGTTAAAACAAAATTTAATAATTACAATAAATGAAAAAAATGAATTAATGGGTTACCAAAACAAAAATTTGAGGATTAGATTATGGAGGAGCTACCACCAAGAAGGAGGAGGAGCTACTGTGCAATAGTAGTGCTGCTACCGTGGCACTGTTCACATTGGAGAGGTCGGATTAAGGGAGGTGGAGGGAAATGGGAGAAAGTAAAAGAAAAGGGAGGAAGAAAGGGGGAGAGATGGAGGGGCAGAGGAAAATAAGATTTAGAAGGAGATTTGAAGAAGTTATGGAGATAATAAGGAGGAGAAAATTGCGGCTAGAAGAAGAAGAAGAAAAGAGAAAAAAAAATTTGGGGAAAAAATTATGAGTCTAGTGGCTATTTAGGAATTAAAAATTTTAACGATGGTTTTTAAACTATCACTAATTTTACTCAAAAATTTAAAAATAGTCATTTTTTCCCAAATGTCAAAATTTACCATTGCTAATTTTGGTATATTTGCAAGGGTTTTTTTTTTTTTTTGAAAAAATCATCGTAACTTCCGAACAAAGTAAAAAATTAAATTAAATTAAAATTAGCGACAGTTTTGAAAACTGTTGCTAATTTTGTGTCAATTTGCGACAATTTGAAAAAATCATCACAAAAATCGATTAGATTTGACCAAAATATCGACGGTTTTTAAAAGCATTGTTAAACTTTTCACAAATGATCCTTTTTTTCCTAACCGTCTCAAATTTTTGTTGATTAGCCATCGTTAATATCCCATCTCAATTTACAATTATTTTTGTAGTGCTTCCTTATCCTATGATTGTGTCAATCGTTTATGGAGGCTTTCCTAACGAGGCTTGCCTAATGGCACTAAGCTTTTGACTGAGAGTTCTTTTACAAACTTAGCATAAATTTTTATATATTGCCGTCTGATTCTTTTGACTTTCTTTCTCTATTATATATTATGCCTCCCTTCTTTCCAAACCACCACACATGTTCTCTCTTCATTCACTTTAGCAAGAAACCTAGCAACTAACATGGCCACATCCACAAAATTATCCCAGTCATATCTTGTCATGCTCCTGGTATTGGCCCTTTGCTTAGCTATGGCACAAGCAGGGCGTGATGGTGTTAATTTGTGTGCAGGATTTGCACCTCCGGGCTCATGCATCCGTCCAATCAACTGCTTTCGCCCGGACCCTGTCTGTGGTGCTAATGGGGTCACCTACTGGTGTGGCTGTCCTGAGGCTGCTTGTGCCCGTGTTAAGATTGTTAAGTTAGGCGCTTGTTAAGTCTCCAACTGGCGGTGGTCGATATTTCACTTTTATGGATCCATGTGGCTCATCCTGCTGTCGGGGTTCGATATTTCAGTTTTTATTTGTCCGTGTGGCTCTTCCTGCACTTTCTCTATCCATCGTTCCTTTCATCATTCCTTTCTGTTCACTTAAGCTCTGGTGTTTTCTTTTCTAACTTATTATAAGGCATTGAAGGCCTAATAGACGAATAAATAAAGATGCTTGATTGTCTGCTCTTAATGAGAAATATTTACATCAACCTGATTCAATGATCCAAACAGTTTTAATTTTTTTATGTGGTAGATCTTATTATTTGTAGAAGTAAATTAAAGAAAAAATTGGTTTAAAGGACATTAAAAAACGTAAGTTCGCATTTTTATAGAAGTTTGCCGTTTAAAGGTGTTAGGAGTATTGTTAAGGATATTATTTTTTCAATATTCAAATCTATTCAAACTCAAATATCCTATCAACTAGGTAACTGGGAAAATTAGATATTTCGGAGGCTCTAATTTAATAGGTTTCTTTTAATAGAATAAGAAAAAGTTCAGAATCACGATGGGATAGGCAATTTAGATTTTTCAGGTCTATACAATGACTTCAATGTTTGAATCAAGGGCTTATAATTTCAGATTTATCTGATCTTATGAATTATTATAATTTTTTCTTTTGAATAAATCATGAATTATTCTAGGACAGTATAAAAATTCTCATTGAAAACCAATTGAAAAAAGAATAGGGATTACTAGCCTTACATCTACGGTTGGATTAAAAAAAGCATAAGCTGTTGGCAATTTTAAAGAAAAAACTGCTTGAATAAAGGGCAAAGAATGGCTAATCTATCCTTATTAGTTTTTGTGTGTTGTATTCAAACTCTGATATATATATATATATATATATATATATATATATATATATATATACATATAAAGAATAGGATTACTAGCATTACATCTACGGTTGGATCCAGAAAAGCGTCTTCTTTTGGCAATTTTAAAGAAAAAACTGCTTGAATAAAGGGCAAAGGATGGCTAATCTATCTTTATTAGTTCAAACTTCTTCCAAAAATTTCCTCTTCTTATAAGCTTGAACTAAAGGAAACAATTCGTTTAAAGGAAATTAAAAAAAAAATGTATATAAAAACAAGTATATGTTTTCGCATGGTGCAAGGGGTGAAGTCGAAAATAGGAGTGGGAATTTCAAAGTTCAAACAGGCTAGAACTTTAACCTAGTACAAATTTATTAAAAATACAACATGAACATATTTCCACCAAAAGATGATAATGTATCGGTTTAGAGAATGAAGTCATTAACGAACTTTTCGGGTTAGAGACTAAATATATATATTCAGTCGCAATTGCCATTGTGAATCCGATTTGGCCGCCCTAAAATGGATGAGTACTTTGGACATAAAAAGTCTAAAGTCCTTGCTTCTACTTTTGACCAAAATAAGGCTTACCAGAAAAGGATAATGTATCATTACTTGCGGTTATTAGTATGTAAGACTTCTGAACCACAGAATCACAAAAATCAACAGCCAATTGATTACTGGCTGCGGCCTGAAGGAATTAAAAACTGATTAACGAGGAGATGATACCATATTGATAATATCAAAAGTATTATCAAATATTTTGATTTGCCAATTAACATTGAAACAGTATACCTACGGAAATGATAGTAACAATGACATTGTTTCAGTGAATGATGGTTAAAAGGTACTTTCTTAATTTTGAGATGGATGTAAGAAACATGGCATGATGTTATGACTCATATTTTCTATAAGCCCACATTAAGTTTGGTTTAGGGTTTTCTTAATTTAATAGTATGTTAAATCTAGATCGTTAATTTAATACTTGATGGACGTATAAGATTTAATATTAATAGGTATATAAACTAATCCTCTCTCCATCCTAATTAAGTATGCGGACAAAAATATAAAAAAATACGAACGCACGTATTTGGCTTTGGATCAAATCATCTCGCTACGAAAAGAGGGTTAAGGGAGAGAAACTAATTTATAAGGTTTGAGATTGTTAAAAACTCTCTCTACATCATGTTGAATTCCACTCAAGGTAAGTGATTTATTCGTTTCATCTATGTGATTATTGTTACATTCAAAATCCTGAATGAGCATAAATGATTTATGTTTTCATCTTTAAGTATTCAAGATTGCATGAATGATTTATGTTTTGATCATTACATGATATAATTTGTGTTTCGATCTTTAAGTATTCAAGATTACATGTGGTATCATAGCTCGTATTTTGAATAGATAATAATCCTTAGATTATTGATTTGATGATTAAAAATAAATAAATAAATTTTTATTAGGCTATTGCCGTTGCCAACGATTAGCGGCGCTTAATCATTAGCGGTGTCACACTGCCAACGATTGAAGAATTAGGGTAGCGTTGGACGCCGCTCTAGATCGGCCATGCAAGGCCTTGCGCAGCCCAACCTTGCATGACGAGGCTCGCAAGCGACGAGCCACGAAGGACCAATAAAAAAAATATTTATATATATACATAAATTTAATTTATGTTCCTTTGTTACATATATATGACGAGTATGATTAAAATTGATTTGTTAGTTACCAAAGTGACCAAATTAATTTTTGAATGAGTAGTCATATAATTTATGTATTTTATGAAATGCTATTAAAAATATAAATTTATTAGTTGATAGAAATTAAGGACTTTACCCAAAGGTAAATCAATGTTCTATAACTAATAAATATAAAGGAGAAAATGGATATATTCTTGCCACATATATATAGTTATCCAAAGATGCTATATGTATTTGAAAAATGTTTATTTAATTTCTTATAAAGTTTAAATGGCATTCTAATAATAGTGATGATATGTATTATTGTGTTTACCTAAAGGAAACCTATAATATATTTAATGTATATGATTCCTGTCCGAATCTATTAATTAGTGAGCGTTTATATATTTGAAGCTATTAGCCTTCACTCTCAAGCATCTTTTGTTACCTTGTTTATTGGTGTGAATTTCTCTGCATGGAGCGAACAAGTCACCTTCCATTTAGGTGCTTTGGATCTTGACTTGGCGCTATTAGAGGATAAGCCTACCGACCTTAATGATATTAGTACGAGAGGCTGAAAAGGCATACCATAAGGTGTGGATAAGGTCTAACGAGTTATGTTTGAATTTTATGCGAATATCGATTGCCAACAACATTAAGTTTACTCTTCTTAGCACTGAAAATCAGAATGCTAAAGATTTCCTTAAGCTTGTGGAAGAAAAGTTTCGTTCTGCCGATAAGGCACTTGTAGGGATACTTATGGCTAAACTCACGGCCATGAAGTTTGATGGGTCAAAGAGTATGCGGTAACATATCCTTGATATGACTAATATTGCGAGTAAGACATAAGAAACTAGGTATGATTGTGGAAGACTCTTTCTTAGTGTAGTTTATCATGAACTCACTTCCTACCGAATATGGACCGTTCCACATCAATTATAATACATTAAAGGATAAGTGGAATATTGATAAACTATCTAGTAAGCTTATTCAAGAGAAGGGAGATTAAAGAAACAAAGATTTTATTCTATTAACCTAGTAGGTCAAGGAACTGGAAAGAAATTCAAACCAATGTCCAACAATTTTAAGAAGAAAGAACTCGCTAAAGTTCTACGAGTTGTAGATGATGGAAGGAAAGGACAAAAGTTAGATAAATGCCATTTTTGTAAGAAAGAAAGACATTATCGGATGGATTGCCCAAAACGTAAGGCTTGGTTCGAAAAGAAAGGTATACATTATGTTTATGTATGCTTTGAATCAAACTTATCTAAAGTTCCTTCTAATACTTGGCGGTTTGATTCCGGTGCCACTACTCATGTTTGTAATATTATATAGGGATTTCTTACAATCCAAACCATAAGCCTAAGTAGCAACTTTCACGCTTATGGGAAACCGAACGAAGGCCCCAATTAAAGGTGTAGGGACTTATAGGTCGACATTAGATACCGAACATCACTTAGATCCAATGAACACTTTTTATGTACCTTTTATTTCTAGAAATTTAGTTTCGTTTCTAGACTTGATTCTAGTGGTTATACTTTTGAGGTTGAACATAGTTGTTTCAATTTGTATAAGAGTAATTGCTTTATTGGTTATGCAATGCTTATGGATGGTTTATATAAATTGAAACTTGATGTTGTTTTTTCTGAATCCCTATTCATTGTTAATCATAATGTTGGAATGAAACATAGTTTAACGAATGAACATTCCGCTTACTTGTGCCATAAACGTTTGGGTTATATATCCAAAGAAAGGTTAGAAAGATTGGTAAAGAATGAGATTCTATCAAATCTATATTTTACTGATCTTGGCTTATGTGTAGAATGTATTAAGGGCAAGCAAACCAAACATAGTAAGAAAGGAGCCACAAGAAGTAGTAAGCTTCGAAAATAATATACACCGACATTTGTGGACCTTTTGACACTCCGTCTTTTAATGGAGAAAAATACTTCATCACCTTCATAGATGACTTTTCACAATATGGATATATCTATTTGCTGCATGAAAAATCTCAAGCTATAAATGCCCTCGAGTGTTTGTAAAAGAGATTCGAAGCAATTAGATAGAAAAGTAAAAATTATAAGATCCGATAGAAGTGGTGAGTATTATGAAAAGTATGATGAATCTGGATAGTGTCCTGGTCCATTTGCTAAGTTCCTCAAAATTCATGGCATATATGTATAGTATACTATGCTAGACACACCGTAACGGAATGGTGTGGCGGAAAAGCGAAATAGAACATTAATGGATATGGTTAGGAGTATGATGAGTAATTCCTTATTACCTAAAAGTTTTTGGATGTATGCACTTAGAACTACTATGTATCTATTAAATAGGGTTCCTAGTAAGGCAATTCCTAAAACTCCTTTCGAGTTATGGATCGGAAGAAAACCTAGTTTAAGACATCTACATGTTTGGGGTTGTCCAACGAATCACGAATTTATAATCCACATGAA